AGTTCTATTTTGTTTAAAGAAGAATGTTTAAAATTGCTACACAGTGGTCAAGGAGGGAAGGAAAAAAAAGATCCACCAGATACCGAAGTAAGAGATTTCTGTTCTAGTTCCAGTTGTGCTAAAAACTAAAACCTGAGACCAGCAACGAGTTACTAAGACTTTTGCAGTTTGCAGCCTCATACCCTTGAGGTCCGGATTTCTCCACATTGGGCACTACTGGCATTTTGGACCAGATAATTCCTTGGTGCCAGATCCAGTCCTGTGTATTGTAGGATGTTTAACAGCATTACTAGTCTCTATGAACTAGATGCTGACACACCACCTCCCAAGTCCTGACAGTCAAAAATGTCTCCAGAAACTACTGTCCTCAAGGTGATAAAAGAATCCCTGTTGGAAACCACTGCTTTAGCAAAGTATGTAATTTATTTTCAGCCCTAAAATTCTACATTTATATAGTAGTTTTCACTTTTAAAGGTCATAGATCTCTTTAGGAATACTCTTCTACTGCAATGAATGCATATATGAGAAACTCAATTTTACATGCAATTTTAAGAGGTTCTCAGAGAATGTGGAGCCCATTCCCGGATTCTTGGTTATGTAGTGTATCTTGGAGTTCATCTACTGATTTTATATTTGAATGTTATAATTACTTGTACCAGATTTTTCTGTTATGGTATTAGATAAACTGTATTTTATCAGAGCAGCAAGATGACAGGATTGTTCAGGGAAAAAAAAAAAAAGCCTAGGTAAAATAAATTTGAAGAAACATTTATTAGGTGAAGAAAGTCTTATTTGGTCAAAGACTCAATTTCTAGGAAACAAAATAGTGATAACTACCAAATCTTTAAATTATTAAGTATTACAAATATCTGCATCAAGTTGTCTGCAAACTAGTCATGTTTTTTTTTTTTTAAAGATTTTATTTATTTATTTGACAGAGAGATCACAAGTAGGCAGAGAGGCAGGCAGAGAGAGAGGAGGAAGCAGGCTCCCTGCCGAGCAGAGAGCCCGATGCGGGGCTCGATCCCAGGACTCTGAGATCATGACCTGAGCCGAAGGCAGCGGCTTAACCCACTGAGCCACCCAGGCGCCCCCAAACTAGTCATGTTTAAAAATTTTGAGAGAGAGAGAGAAAGCAGGCAAGAGGGAGAGTGCAGGAGGGGCAGAGGGAGAAGCAGACTCCCCACTGAGCAGGAAGCCTGATGTGGGGCTTGATCCCAGGACCCTGGGGCCATGACCTGAGCCAAAGGCAGACACTTAACCACCTGAACCACCCAAGTGCCCAAACTAGTTAACTTTAATAAAAGGATTTCAACAAAATGATGCCCAGAAAAATAATACAATGGCCATGCCTTTGGAAGCACGGGAAGTGTTGCATTGCAATTTAATACAAATGGTGAAATGAACTGGGGAATATCCATTGTAAAAACCTCAGAGAGTAGGTAAGGATCATGAGAAATTATTAATCTGTCTTCACAAATCAGGCTACAGTGATCTTTCTTTTATTAAACAGGATGAGACTTCGGCCCTCAAGTTTGAAATAAGAGCAACAGCTTTTCCAGAGCCTAATCCAAAAGTTATTGAACTAAACAAAGATGAGACTGTTGCACATGTAAGATTACCATTTTACCTGAAACCCTAGGATTATAAGGAAAAACTATTGATGGAGCTTTCAGTCAGGAAACTAGATTGCCTAGATCATGGAAGACTTGAAATACTTTACTGAGATTTGGCATTTTCCACAACTGGTGGGAGGGAACAATGCAGATGGCTTTTTCAGGAGGTGAACTTGGTAGAATTATCTGGATGAAGAAACATGGTGCAAGCCAATTCTACTAAATGGTTGCCAATGTTCCCTAGGGTTGTTCGAACCAGCAAGAGGAGGAGATGGGAGTTGTTCAAAATACTATGGGAATCATAGATTGGGGAGGGGTAGGGAGGTGATTCAGAGGGAATTAAAAGCAAGTTTTTAAACTGGTGGCTCTTTATGTAGGTTCTGCTTGAAGGACTACATCATCAAAGACCCAAACGTCATTTCACAATAGCAATTATTTCAAGTAGCTTGTTCCTTGGACTTATTTTGCTTTTATTGATTTCATATGTTATGTGGAAGGTAAGCTTTTAATAATTACCCATGTTAAACTACTCAATAATGCTGTTTTTAATTTGTAACGAAGCCCCCTTTGTGACTCCCAAAGTATGACATATTGTAGCACTTTTAATGTTAACGTTTTAAATTCCCAAGTGACTATGCAGTACTGATCTCCTGTTTCTCCTAACTTGAGTACCAGTATTCCAACCATGACACTAGTTTGGAAAGATGTTCTTTAAGAAAGCTCTTAGAAAACACTGCATATTACTTTTAATGTCCATTTTGGAGAGTATGTGTCACCAAGCAGTCCAATAAATTGCTCTTTAACACAATATTTCCCATCTGAATTTTACTACTTGGGATGGTGACTATTCAGGTGTCCAATGAGTGTAATATGTTTGCAACTATACACTAGTGATTATGCAATACTGTTTACAGGCTGGCTTCTTTAAAAGACAGTACAAATCTGTCCTCCAAGAAGAAAACAGAAGAGACAGCTGGAGCTACATTAACAGCAAGAGCAACAAGGATGATTAAAGACTTCTTTCAAATTGAGAGAATAGACTCAGGTTAACCAAAGAAATTCAAGACCGTGTTTACAAGAAACCCGGAATTCTGCTCAGATTTCTCCTATGTACTTCATTTACTCATGACCTTGTGACATACTAGGTCTCGATGCAAGTGAAAAATCCCAAGCAATGATTACTCTTCCAGAGGAAAATAATCTCTCAGTTCTCAAATGGATAGAAAAAAAACACTAAAGCATTCAATTTATTCAAGGTAAGTGATCCCTTGAAGATACCTTGAAATGAAAGTGCATCTGAATTAAATCATGTTGAGGAAGTAAACAACTCATTTGGAGAAGTCTTGGACTTGAAATATCATTCCTTTAAAAGAAATAATTTGCCAGGCGTGCTTGCTTCGGTAAAATAAACTCCACTGAATAGGCAATGATTCATTTCTAATAGATCTTTGGGACTCATTGGAAAAATCCCGCTAAATATATCTAAAGAATGAAGAGCTGTTCCTCAATTTTCTTATGAATAAAAGAAGACCACTAATGTTTTAAAGCATATTTTATCTTTAAAGACCTTTATTTCTAATACCTTTATGATGGGCTTTGATCAACAACCATTTAGTCGGCAGTCTATGTAAGAGCACTTTGGGCCTGAGGAGCAAATTCCAGACTGAATTTATACACTGGTTTGAGTTTAATGACTTCTGGATAATTACTGTTTATACGGCTATGGATTCTTTCTGTATATATACATAAGTTCTTAAAAGAATGTAACACATTTTTATCAAGGGTGCCCAGGAGTAATGTCTCAAATCCATTTTTAGTGAAATTTTTTTACTTATAAAAACAATAGTACTTAAGAATTCTAACTTATACTCTGAAACAGATTGTGAATGTTGCACTTTAGCTGATATTTCAAATATAAATACACTGATAATATGTAAAATATGAAAACTGTACCTCATTAATGACTCTTAAAAAGCCAAACTCTACGAAGACCGTGCTTGGAGGCCAGTATTCTATATAAATTAGATACTATGTAAAATAGTGACTGTCAAATCAAGCAAATGCCCCTACTTGTGTAGATACTACTTTCTCCTCAGATGTATGTACTACATGTGTATTTTATCAGGTGTATAAGAGCATTCTCGTCTGCATGGAATTAGAGAAACAAAATCTGGAAACTTAACTTTTAGCTTGTATTCAGTGAATATAAATGTGACATAAAAATTTCCATGATCTGTTTTAGTGGTAAGTGAAATAGTTTTTATAAAAAAGCTTCTGGATTTTAAATAATCTTTAGTATCTTTTCACTTGCAAATACAGTCCTTTTTCATATTTATTCAGGCATGTGACCTGGATGCTGATAGCTGTGAGTTGTCCTATATCTGTCTTTATTGTTGGAAGCAATTAAATAGTAAAAGACTTCTGTCTATCTGAAGCCCCTGCCAACAGCGGTCTTTCTCAGGCTGCCTAAATTCCTGCAGGTTCTCTGTTCATGAGCCCACATTAGTAATTGGTGGCCAGAGGACAAGGAGGACAGAGTTTCTGAAGGCATTCGATGGGTGAAACCCAATCTGTGAGCATGAACCCTCCTGAACACGGTATATCCCAGCAGTCATTAATTAAACTTAAAAAGGTATTATATAAGCAAATGATCTGCTTTTTTCATTACATAAAAAGCAAAGTAATCCTTTCAGGAGATTTTCTGGAATCATTGGTGGAGGATGATCCCTGAGGAAATTTAAATTGGGCTCTTTTCTATCCAGAGATGATAGCATGTGGGGTATTGAGTGCACTAAACCAGTGTGCTAGGATTGCTGGATAACATGACTTTCAGAAGCAAAGAGAAAACAGCTCCTCACTAGTTAGCTACTTCTTACACTTCAAAATTTGTTATGGATTTGAAAAGACTTATAAAGAAAATCAATTTTCAGCTTTCAGGGAATAGTCACAAAATTGGTTCCTTAACAACTTAAAATAGCTTATCTCTTTGGCAAATAATGTAGGTATTGGAGCCATTTTGAAATCTGGATTAGGATCTCACCAGGGCATCCTTAGGTAACCTCTGGCATCCATCTGTACCAGGCTGTAGGAAATTTTATATCCATAGAGGATGGACTCAAATCCTGAAAGGTGAAAGCATCCAAATTATTTCACTTGGGAATTACTGGCAGATCATCAAGATGTTTTGAGTATATGAATGTTTGCTTTCGGTTCCAATAAATACTTTCTGAAACCAGAATTTAATTCATTATATTTCATGGCTTAAGCTCTAGAAGCTAATTTTTAGCAACAAAAATAGCAATTTTCATTTCTTTAAAAAAATAATTTTTCCCTATATCTTTAATGCATGACCATATTCCTTCATATTAAAATTCTAGTTTGTACATTTCTTTTATAAACAATTACATGTTACTTTGGAATCATTCATTTCTTCCATGCTTCCTCCATAAAGACTGATAAGTCTTGGGTGTAATCTGTAAGAAATAGATGTATAATTATTTCATCAACCTCTCGTTATTTTTCACACATATACCTATTGAGTCTGGTACATTATACCAAATACCAATATAACAATAGCTAGAAAACCTCCATTCGTGGCAGAGCTGCAATCTTGTAAATGTGGAGGGGGCGCTGATAAATGGACACTGGTCATTACTGTAACATCCAGACATTGTGCCTACAGGGTGCTGCTCCTGCCCCGGTCTTCCACCCCTTGAGTCCTAATGCTTTCCAACAATGAGTTTGCATGGTCCTAAATTTGTTTCATGCCAGTTGTCCTGTTACAGAGTATATAAAACTGTTCCTGTGTTGAGAAGGTTGAATGCTGTGGAAAGAGTTGAGAGCAGCACGCCGCTGAATACAAAGTGATCAAGACTGGAGCTTTCAATGTGTACCCATCCGATCTGCAGAGGGCTTTCACAAGGTTAAGCTCTCGATCCACTTTTAAGATTATAAAACATATATTGCTAAAATTACAAAACAAATTGTAGACATTATCTGTACAGTTTAGGGAGAATGGTCATTTAAAATGCCAATATAGAGACTCAGAAAATTTGGTGATGAGTCTATACGAAAATGCTTGGGCTGTATGTAACAACTGGTGAATAAATGTAAAGTTATACTTTATTTATTAAAATTGTACATCTATCTTTTTTATGCTTCCCTGGCTTACTCATTAAAAAAAAAAAGTCCTAACAAGGCTGCTTCCATTACACTTAATTTTGTGTCTGCTGGCGGATATTGAAGGGGGTAAATAATGACACTTACTTGACCAGAACCTCTGATTCAGCTTCCACTAAGTCACCATCTATGTTCCAAGGGAAACTGTGCTCTGAAGCAGCTGCCTGCCGTCTGTCATCCTCCTCCGGATCACATCCACTTTTGTTCCTCAGACGAACTCTTACTTCTCCAACAGTGTAAGTCTCAACAAATGGAAAGTTGAACTAAATAAAACAAACACAAATAGTCACAGTGTGGGCTTTATCCCTAACTGCTCGTGCAAATTAAAAAGTTCACTGTGCTCTCTCTTGCACATAAATATCAACATGCATGAGGATATTTTTATAGCTTTGAAACTCTGTGCCAGGGGTCCCCAATTTCTTTGGGAGATCAAGCAAACTTGTTTTATGATCACTAGTCTGAGGTTATATACCATATCATACATTTTCAATTAAAGATTTTTTAATACCCAGCTGTTGACACAGAAGATTTATATAATCCACCAACTTACTAACTTGTCAGTTAGTTGAGGTGATGTCAAGGAAACTAAGTTTCACACTTAGAATTTAACCAGGAAGAACCTAGCTCTAAGCTTATGAAGGTAGAAAGAGGAAGTCAGTCAAATGTGATTTTCGCAGGTTTTCCCCCGCCTCAGTCCCACAGTCAAGATGGATACAAGTCACAAGACAATTGTTTGCTTGCCGACCGCTCTGAAGGGTGCAGGCTATCTTCAAGTTTGTTTTTGTTTGTCTAAGGAATCTTTAGTGGAAAAAAATATGTATTCTCATAAAAAAGAAAAGATAGCCAAATACCTGTTTAGTAGCAGTGCACAATAACCACTCACTTATTTCACTTTTTAGGTAAATGGCATGAGGTCTATTCCTATGATCTACATGGGTTTTTCTCCCTTCCATGTATAAACCTCGGTGAGGTATGGAGTTCTAAAAGTTGACAGAGAACTAGTATTTTTTCCCCACACCCTTATTTTACCCAAGTAGAAACCAAGGCCCAGCAGACTTCACAGTTATACTGTATAATGCACTGGACTACTACCATGGCATATACTGGATTTATAGGGTGGTATCAGCCATTCTAATGCAGGTACAGAATTACGGGCCCCAAGTAGCTCTCTGTGGAAGCACGGGGGCTCCTGTGAAACTGCTTAGCAGTCACTGCCTTAGACTTTCATCTTAGCTCCAGAGCCCTGGGGACAGCCTTCATTCTGTGTGAACTTGTAAAAATAATGGGTTTTTAATGAGTCACTGCTAACTGGCTAACTAGGAGTTAAACTGCATCCCTGATAACAATGCCTGGAAGCCTTAACTCTTAGTACCTGCAAAGGTCACCCATGTTTGGGAAGAGGGTCTTTGCAGATGTGATTGAGCTAAGATGAAGTCATCAGGTTGAGCTCTCATCCAACATGAGTGATGTCCTTTTAAGAGAGGAGACAGCCACGTGATAAAAAATAGTCCGCCTGCGGCACGCAGCTGGAAGCTGAGAGAGGCCACGGAGGGATGGCCGCCACCAGTAAGTCTGTTATCTTAAAGCCTCAGTTTTCGTGTGCATCCTTCACCAAATGAAGCTCCACACATGCCAGCAAATTCATTACCTATGAAGCCACATCATTAGATGGGAGGTTAGGGAGCCAAGAGCTCAGTATCTCGTGTGAGGGTGTGTCTAAGATGTGAGGAAGAGACAAGCAGCTCAAACTGTGATACACACAAATGCCTTGATGGTGTAAGCAGAGAGTTAAACGAGAGAAACAAGAGGCAGCAAGCTCAGGATGTTGAGTGAGCTTCCTATCTGATGGGCGTCTTAACACACAAGGGTTAGACTGGAGGGGAAGGGAAGTAGTTTTGGAGAAAGGAAACATTTGCCTAAGTATGGATATAGGGCACCATCAAGCAACTACAAAAAGTTCAGCATACTGTAATACTGATTGTAATACTGGTGTTTTGGTACTTATTTTTAAAGAAGATATAAACAACTATATTTGATTTTTTTTTTAAAAAGACATACATGTGGTTACTCACTGAATTGTATCTCTCCCACAAAGTTATAAGTTGACCTTATCACCCCCATACCTTAGAATGTAACCATAGTTAGAGAGAAGGTCTTTAAAGGTGTGGCTAAAATGAGGTTTTGGGGTAGGCCCTCATCCACCATGACGGGTGTCCCTAAAAGACAAAACAAGGCACACAGATGCCAGGGATGTGCACACCCAGAGGAAAGACCCTGTGAAGACACAGCCAGAAGGCAGAGAGACATCTTGAAGCCACAAGAGGTCTCGGGAGAAACCAAACCTGCTAACACCATCTTGGACTTCTAATCTTCAGATCTGTAAAAAAATTTCTGTTAAGCCTCCACAGAGTCTGCGGTATTTGTCATGGCAGCCCTAACACACTAGTAAAATGACCAAAACACAGGAAAGCTGGGGTAGGATGGCAAGAGGTGAGGCTGTGACATAAGCAAGGGCCAGAATACAAAGGGCCATGTATTCCATGCCAAGGACATGCGATGCCATCTTGACAAGAAGGAGCAGGGCACTGAAGAGCTAAGCACGAGAGCATCAGCAAAGTGTTTTAGCAAAATCCCTCTGAAACTAAGTGTGGAAGACAAGACCAGAGCAAAGGAAGGTCGGGAAGAGGGTGCTATAAACTAGAAGGGATTAAGGTTCAAAATAAGGTGGAGGAGAAATTTCAGAAACATTTAGGAGGGAAACCAACAGAAGTGCTTGGTGGGTTGTGAGGAATGAGGGAGGGAGAGGATTCCAGAGTAACTCCAGGATGCCATCCTCTGGAGGGACACAGGGAAGGAGGACCTTTAGGGGAAACACAATATGGTCAGGTATGGACATGCTAGACTCAAGATGCCTATGAGTTTTCCTACTTCAGCACACAGGAAAGCACCATGATCCTGTTGATCAGCAGAGAAAAGAGAATACTAATTCACAAATTTCGCTAATTGTGCAAAGCTCAAATGATGGTTCAAACAGGGTGGCGGTGGGGAATGAGATCCCCCAGGACAAGTATCACAAGAGGACTAGAAGTTGGCAAACAAGTTCTCAGGGAAAGCGCTAACTTACTTAAGGGTCTTAAACTCCCTACCAAAAATGATGGTCAAAGTATACGTGGGAATGTAAGACAGAGGAAAAGGAGGACGGTGATAGGATACAGTTGAAAGGAAGGGTAGTATTTTTCTATTTGACACAGTGATGGGGAAGGCAGGATGATGGTGGTTTTCATTATGCACTACGATTGTTAATATATGTGAAGATTCAGTTCAACCTGGCAAAGATGGTTCCGGGACCTAGACTGGGGCTTTCCCGAGGCCGAAGTACTGTGTTTTCCTTTCTGGATACCACAGTTACTGCTAACTAGACTGCTGCTTATATAATCTTACCTTTATGTGGTCTTTATCATATTACATAATTTACATAAATTTACATTCTTGAAAATGTCACCATGAAGGAAAGAGACTACACATACACACCTATGTGTAAATATATGTCCTTTTTTTAAAAAAAAAACAAATGTATCAAATTAATATTGCTTGGAAGCAGTGACCTTGGGAATCCATCTACTTACTCATACATACCATCATGTTGAACATTTCAGAGTTTGTTAAAAAAAATAATTACAGAGCAATAACATGGATTTCAATTTTTGGAAAGAGCTAAGTCAATCAGAGTTAGGACTAACTACTGGCCTCCTCCAATCCCCCAACCCCCCACACACAGAGGCAATAATTTTTGCATCAAAAATAAGACATGGCTGGTAAATGGGGAAAACAGGTTATAATATATCTTGCATAACATGATCTCACTTTTTTTTAAAAGATTGTTTTCCTATAGAGAGTTCTATTCACTCTGTCTTCGCTTTTCTTTTTATAGAAAGCATGTACTACTCTCAAACTCACAAGGATATTTTCATGTTGAAAAAAGGATGCTTACAAAAAATTACCTCAGACAATTGCCCCTTAGGCAATTCCAAAAGAGAATTTCCTAGTTATTTTGTACCTCCCTAAAATAAATACAGAGCTTCTCAGGATGAGTACCTTCAGGTTAATACCCATTGAAGTTTTCACATATGTTTAATGTGGAAAGATTCAGAGGTTGATACCAAGGTAGTGATCCTGATTAGCTCTTGGAATACAGAATTTTGAGTGCTTTTTATATTGCTTTGCTGTTTCTACTTTCTGACTTAGGAAAAAATAATAACATGTACTGCTTGTGGATTAAGAAAAATAGTAACATTGCAAACAAAATGAGTAACATCTGAAAAGGCCTCCATTCCTTGGACAGTCAGTCACCATCTTTCCCCAAACACGCACACGTGAAGTTATTACTTCGGCTCACAACCTACATTATGTCTGCTTCTGTGTACTTTGAGATTCGTATTTAAGGAAAGAGGCACTGTAATTTTTATAATACAATTTCCTAGACACTTCATTCAGTTGCTTGCTCAATAAACACTGATCAAATAATGTAGCGGGCAGAAGAGAACTGAAACTTCACGAGGACTGTCTACAAAAGTTTACTACAGTGTGAGCCTTGCAATGGCCACCTGCATAAGCAAGATGCCACCACCGCGCTGGATTTATGCTCCTCCTCCCATGTACTCTCTACAGCTGCATTTCTGTACCTACAGGGAGTGAGACTACAGGGCTTTACAAGCATACCGATGTAGTTCAAAGACTCATCATTTCAGAAATTCACATATTTCTGGATCAGTTTCCTAAAAACTGGGTCAAAATCTCTGCCAAAAGAATGTGGCTTATAATAGTTATTGCTTCTCTTTAAAACAAATCCCTTAAGGGGAAATACAATTTTATCTGTCTCCCAAAACGTAACCACATGTTCTCGTTCTGAATAGAATACTGACTGTATAAAAGTGGTGTGTTTTTAAATATAGGTCTGCAAATCTATTTCAATTAAGTGAAGGGAGGCTGATCTGTACATAAATGGCAGGAGAATCTGAAGGTCATAACTTCAGAGAGTCTGCTGCTATAACACTGAGAAGGCTAAACATCTCAGACTTCACTACTTTTCATTCTGAAGAACAGCCAAGTATATAATTTTATCTTTAATTTACTTTACATTTCAATATAACACTACATTTTCTACTTTCTCTTTGCAGGCACACACGCACACACACAAATGTATGTATCCTCCAAAGGATAGCTCAAAAAGGACCAATCTATGTTAATACAATAGATATTCTTCAAAATTTGGAGGAACCACAAACTGAAAGAAAAAAAGATTAATATATTAAGAGAGTAATGCCTTCTTATGATGCAGGATTTGATGTCAACTCTTGCAGCATCTCTCTTTCCAGGATTAACAGTTTTGCACACAAGTAATAAAAATAATTTACTCTACCTGATTTTTAACACTGGCGTATCTTTTTAGGTGTTTTATAAATTCTGGTCGAGAAGTGTTCCGTACAACGATGAGAGCCATGCTTCCATTATTTAATCTGGAATTAAATATTTGTATTTGACATTGAGAAGTTTATGAAGTGATTGCAACAGAAATTACTCTATCATTCCTTCTAACAAATATCACGCTTACTAGAAGTTTTAGGCCAGAGAGATTAGTCATCGTCACATTACATTTACCTAAAATTCTTAAATCTTATCTTGCCGTTGTTATTTTTTAAACAGCACAGCCCTTCGAATTAATTTTTTATTAACTGACTGATTTCCTTCTCTGTAAGTTCGTTAGGGGCTTTTTAAGAAAATGAACGATCATGCATCCTATATACCTAGCAAGACATCATTTAAAATCCAATGTATTTACTTAGGGATACAAAATGTGAAATCGTGTGTTTTTAAAAGAGGTAAAATACCAAATAAATACAAATGGTATAACAAATTGCTCAACACTTTCTAAAACCTACAGTGTGATATTTAAATATTTACTTATGGGCAGGTCGAAGTGACATAGAAAAATAAATCAAAGGGGCCCACAGATGGATACAAGGGACAAATGTTGCCACACATGTGCAGTTAAATGACTGAGCATTTTAATCTTGCATAACAGTTCAGTTTAATATAAGAGACTGCAAATTTAGAGATGTGATTTAGTGCCAAAAAAGCCACTCACAAATGCATCTAGCTTTAGAAGGCAGTTTGCAGAAATATGTGCAAATGATTTCTAGCTTGATTTCAAGGCAAATATAAAGTTATTCCAAGAATAACAACAACATGAAAAAGAGCTCTTTAAATCTTATGGAAACTCAGGTTAGAGTTTGCAAGGGACCTTGGAGATTATCCATTCATTCACTCAGTTTATACAGATGGAAAAGAAGACCCCAAGTTTAAGTGATTTGCTCAAAGACACACTGGGAAAAACAAAATGATCACTGGTACCAGATCTCTTAGTTGCCAGGGTCCAATGTTCATTTTACTTAACATGCCAACACATTCAGAGTACTGTCTTGTGTTTTTATTCTTCAAAAATTGCTTAATTTTTCATAAACATGAAAAGCACTTCGTATGTCTCCTTTTCAATACTTAGTCATTGAAACATGCTCTATGTGACTTCACTATTCTAAATGTTTTATATATATTATGCATTTAATCTTGGGATACTGAAAACAACACTAATTTCTATCAGCAATTTTCACTGAGGTATTTTGAATTAAGTTATACTTTATTGGGGGGGGGAGGAATAAAGTTGGAAGTTGAATCTCCTGTGCAATGATCCTGAATCATTCTGAAGATAAATCTCTGAATACCTCTGGTCAACCAAGGTGTGGTATTACGGTTTTTACAAAAAAAAAAAAAAAAAAAAAAAAAAAAAGGTGGGGAAGTGTTTAGTTACAGTCCAAAAGGAAATCTCTAACTAGTCATCCTCTGAAAATTTAATCAATACTGATTAAGCCTCGTGAGAATAAGCAATGGAATTCCAGGCAAGTTAAAAACTGTATGGAGCAGCATTGAGAGAGGCATGAATCCACTCCCAGAAGTGTAGACCACCTCTCATGAAGGTCCTTGAGCAAACATGAGAGTCAGAGATGAAGTAGGATTAGACAAGTATTGTCTCCAGTCCTGTAGAACATTGCTCCTTTAGTCAGCTAGCTGGTTTCACTTTTAGCGAGGGAAACTATACTAGGCAGATACACATCTATCTAGGATTTCTGACAGTATAGGCAGGAAACAATTAAGCTACAATTTCTAAATCACAAAAGCTTCAAAATAACTCCCTTCCAGTTACTAAAGATAAAGAGGACCCTGGTGTCTAGATTATTAATATCAAAGTGCATAGTTTTTCTTCTTCTCTAACTTTGGATATTTCTCTATCACCTTCATATCAACTGCTGAGGAAAAAATTGTAAATCAATCCCTCTTGCTAGCTGTTAATCATTCTGGTTAAATATTTTGCAGGGAAGACAAAACTGATCATTGAAATGATGTTATAAATTGCCACAGCACAGAAGCCATTCTTTTAATCTACATCCAGGGAAAGTCTAGATTTGACTATATCATGCAATATTCATGATCCTTCCATGCTCTCTATGGGAGTGGGAGAGAAAGATTTTCAGATGAATAACAGACACCTGCTTGAAAAGAATGTGTAAGAGATGGTTTATATTTTTGTGGATAAAATGATATATAAAATGTCTCAAGAAAATGTGGGCAGCAGATTCGTATGTACCACTATTCATACTAAATATAAATAAGTGAAATTCAGTTTCCTTTGACAAAGGTATCAAATATACCCACAGACAAGCTATTCATGCTGAAGATATTTATGTCTGTTCTACAGTTTTAAAGTAGAGACGATCATAAGAAATACAAGAAATGTAATGTTTTCAATGACCAGTAAATAAACACAAATAAAGCGAGCAAAGTAGGCATAAAATGACATAATAAAATTATGTTAATAAAACCCCGAGAAATATTTTAGCTTCAGTAACATAAATAAATCAGTGATCATCTAGTCTTTCCAGTTTAACAGTTGGTCTCAGCCTACTCTGAGGCAAAGTCCCTTAGAATCTCTCCTATTATCACAGTCCAAAAGAGACTACCTGTTGATAATATTCTAGCCAGCCAAAAGTTAGCAAGGTATTCTAAAAGAGAGAAAAAAAAAAAACCCTGGTTTATAGAAAAGTATTAGTGATTCAATAAAAATGCTTACTAACCTGGTAGTAGGTGCCAAGCCTCTAGGTGCCACCGAACACAGGCAAGGGATTGCCATAATGCTGACATTCAAGAACTGACCCTGGACGGTCTGCCACTGATCACTACTGTCTAAAGGCAATGGAAGTGATTGGTTACTTGCCCTCACCAGAGCAAAATGTCAACAGGGTCTGGCTCAGTTCTTAAGGAGGTACTTTTAAGCTTACCAGATTTGGGAGATCCTTCTGCCTTCCTAAAAGAAAGAAAACAAAACAAAACAAAAGAAAAACCACATCACACAAAAAATAACATCTATTCTATTGAGAAACTTCAAGAAACTAATTTGTCAAATATTTTCTTAGATTAGATCAGGTAAGTAAAAATATGTGAGTATATTCCATTACCGCATTATACTGTGCTGATTCATTTAAAGGTGGCGTCATAACCACCATCACAATGATGATTTTGCTTTTCTTTTAAAGACTAGAACATTTGCTTTGTGTGGCTTTGAGTAATGTTCGTGTTCCACACTAGACTGAAATTCTGAGGGCAAAAACCATGGGTTTTGTTTGTTTTCTGGCTTACTGTTGTATCCAAAGTGCCTGGTATGTAACATTCAATAAACAGGATGTTGAACAAATGAGTGAATGATTGGATGGATGGATGGATGGATGGATGGATGGATGGAAGGAATCATTGTTTCTGAAGACAGAAGTCAAAAGTACATGGCCGTCTAGAATTACACTACTCTACATTCTTTGCTAATATTTTAGAAAAACAACCAAAGATCACAAGACTAAAAAATTGTGTATATCAGATTATTTCATGCTTTAAAGAAAGATATGGATGTTTATAGTACTTTGAGCTCTTTACCTACCATTCTTGTAAATCGTGAGAGCCGATACATGGTAAAAAGGATATTTCACAGTCTTCAGGCCTAAAATACAATAAAATTTGCTATTAACACTCATGTACTCTAAGATACAAAATTTTTGGTTTAAGGGAAAAAAAAAAAAAAGCTTACTTGAGTTTTGCCAGTGCCTTCATGACCGCAAAATCCCTTCGTTGGTTGGGTGACATCCATCGATTTTTTTCTGCAAGGGCCAAAGCTCTTCCACCAAAGCCAAACATGGCAGAGAACCCAAAGCGAAGAAGCTTGCCAGTGGTGCTAAAAGTGCAGACATCAACTGGTTGTATGTGCCCTTGAATATCATGTTGGATATTAGTCAAGCAGTGAGAGGAGTAGGGCAAGTTGTCAAAATGGCAAACACAGAAGAGCCTATTTATTTACTTATAGAAGATCTCAAGCAATTTCCTACCAGAATAAATATCCTTGCTTTCTCTTCATCTCCCCTGACCTACAACTACTACAACTGCCATTTGTAAATTTTTTAGGTACTAAGGGAGAAACACAAAGCAGTAAATACTACAACTTGTTATTTCATGTAAAACATGGTTAAAGAAGTCAAGTTGAAGTACACGGGCAAACTAAACTTAGATTTAACAGTAGTTTTGCATTGCACCTATCTGAGTTTACAGACCTTCCATTAATTGGAATAACAATTCTAGAGTAGCTGTGCAGTGAATTGTCTTTTTGTGTTTTTCTTTCTTTTTTTTTTTTAAAGATTTTATTTATTTATTTGACAGAGAGAGATCACAAGCAGGCAGAGAGGCAGGCAGAGAGACAAGAGGAAGCAGGCTCCCCGCTGAGCAGAGAGCCCGATGCGGGACTGGATCCCAGGACTCCGAGATCATGACCCGAGCCGAAGGCAGCGGCCCAACCCACTGAGCCACCCAGGCGCCCCTTGTGTTTTTCTTTTAATAACGTCATCCCAGCCCTACCATCTAGGTGTAGCCCAACAACAGTATCTGATATACTTCAAAAGGATGCACGGGTTTTCTTAATCTGATTGTAAAATTGTGATTTTGACCACCATGATGTTTTTTTTTCTCAAAAGATTATAGTAAAACTTCATTTTCTACTCTTTATAGTGCCTGTGCTCTGAAAAGGGAGGCAGCCCAATGGTGAAGCTTCGCCCTAATTGACTTTTGGTTTTCAGTAAAACATGTCTCTGCTTTGAGGGACAAAGAATTTGTCCTTCCTTAGATGCGTCTGACAGAAATAAAAGAGTCATAAATAAATATAAAAACTTCCTTATAAGAAAGTCAAATTCCTTATAAAACAGGAACTTCTTTGAAAGAATTCTTACCCATTATAATGTGCAAAGTTGCAGTTACCACATGAGGGATTCCATGAAGAGAATGTGCGAGTACGTTAGTAGAGCCTGCCAAATCAATTCAAAACATGTATAATCAATGTAGTGTATGTTTTCATTTATGCACTTGCTCTTACTTTACACAGAGATGACTATGTAATGTTCAAATGAAAAATTAATGGAAGCTTATAAGTGTTCATTCACAGACGCACATCAAATAGTCGCCAAATTTTTGTTTAGCCTTTAAACAACTTAAAATTAGTAAATAGTTTATAGTATCTACTTGCTCACTGCTTTTTCCATCATTAATGTCTATTTTCTACCAAAATGTACTAGATATGTCAAAGTCTACTCCAACTTCAATGAGTGGGCTTCTAACTTCTATCACAAAATGAGCACCAACAGCATTAAGGCTGTCCCTGGAGAGCAGAAACAAATGCATAAATATATAAATAAAAATCTAAGTAGTAACGAAGAAAAAAAATCTAAAATCACTGTAAAGTACTAGACAGTTTTTAAATACTTTTAATGAATCTTAGAGATAAGCTTTCATCCAAGAGGGGCTTTTCCTCTTATAGAACAAATGGTATCCTCGATGAAAAAAATATTTAATTTCATGGTATTTACCACTATAAAAGTCTGTTTTGAGACATTATAGGTTTCTTATTTTCATAATCATTAGGATAATATATGATCCACATGGATTTTTGCCACCACCCTGCAGAAGAGGAGAGTTCTCTCAAGTCAGGCTTCTATAACATTTTTGTGTCTCTGAGATCTTGGGGTAAAAGCCTTTTTTTGAACACGAAAATTTCAACTGGCCCCTGCCATTCCCAGGAGGTTAAAAGGATTTAAAATTAAGAGGCTACAAGTTTTCTTGAATTACAGATTATAAGAAAGAAATGGCAGTAACAGCCAGGAGCTATGAAAGCGTGAAGGTTAGCCCCTGGATTTGTTAGCTGGGAACAGTCCTGTGTGGTCATACATGACCTCTTTGTTTTGTATCACTTGAACTGATGTGCTCTAGGGTTGTCAAGTTGAAGAAGCTGAGGCAACTCAGGCATTTTCAACCAAGGCCGTCATTAAAATAATCGTCGTAAGGGACTTATCTAATATTAATGACTTCCAGACCTCTAGTAATACCAATTCAAAGAAAAGTCCATCTCAACCCTAATTAATAAACCTGTTCCAACTGATTCATCAAAGGGCAAATGATACTCTGACCTTTGTTACTCAGAATATGGCCCACTTTCCAGCCACAATACTCTGGTGCTTAGGACAATAAATGGGTGTTTATTAAAATGTTGACTCTGGGGTCCCACTCCAGACCTACTGAATCAGAGTCTGCATTTTATAAGATCCTCAGGTTTTGTGCCTGAACAGTAACGTGAAGAGGCACTCATCTAGAATTGTATGGTCTAGGGACCAGGAGCATCAACATCATCTGGGAGCTTGTTAAAAAGGCAAATTTCTGGGTCCCACCTCCAATCACTGGAAACAGAAGGTCTGGAAGTAAGGCCCCAGGTGTCCACGCTTTAGCCAGTTCTCAAGGCAACTCATAGGCATCCTAAGGTTTAAGAACAACGGGTCCAGAAACCTGTTACTCAGTGGATCTTTACCCAGGAGTCAATTACCTAAGCCTTTCCAATTATCCTCTGACCATCTAACAGTTTACCCTCTGGTCATCTAATTGCTAATTAATCTGGAATGGGTGGGAGGGAAGAAAGGAAACAAATCAACCTATTTTGCTTCCCAATCAGATTTATGGTAAAGGTTTTGGAGGAGGCCACATAATTAGAGTGAGATATTTAGGATTATCAATGGATTACAGTACTCCATGAAACACATTTCCTCCATTACCATGGTTAATTAGGAATAGGCAATAAAAGCTTTCCTCTAGAAGGGCTATTAAAGAACATAATGTAATGTTGTCATGTGCAATAGAGAATGACACATATCATGACTCAAGAAAATAAAGACCATTAATTCCCTATGAGTTTGAAGTATGCTAAGCATATCCAAACACAACTCTTTTTAGATTGCTCAAGATCGCTTTTTTAAATTTTTACGTCTCAGGATTTGCACCTTGACAACTTGTTCTTAAATCCATAGAATTTGCAAAGAGGCATGACCAGAAATTTTAGTCATCTTCTACTCTGATTAACCCATTCCTTAGTCCTGAAGAACAGTTTTTTACACACTGAATTAAAAGGAAAGTTTGTGAGGAAAGTGCTTATAAAATGGTAATACTATAGATTGCTCAGTATTTTTATTTGGATAATCTAAAAGACAGAGTACAATTTCCAAAAACAAAATGTGATCCGTCTGTAAAGACATCTACATGCCAAAAGAACATGTTGCTCACATAAATAACAACTATGTAAATTTAGCATTCCCACAAAAGCTATAAATGTTCTACCTCAAGGTAAACATTTTAATTAGTCTGAAAAGTTATTTTTCTTAACAGCTACCAGCAATTTTGCTCACCACCACCTCCCCAGACCTGCTAAAATGTGCCAGATACAAAGAGGGTAAGGACAGAAGTAGCAGTTCATGTAAAGCATGAGTGATGGAAGCACCAGACAGAAACTATGGAGGAAAAAAGAAACAAGGAAAAAAATTGTCCTTGGAAGTGCAAGCACTTCTGCAGAACAATTAACTTAATTAACCAGACACCATGAATATTCATAAGGCCGTTAATGTCTCCCACATCCAAACAGATAAATGTGATGTAATGACTTCCTAGTCAAGCATATCTAAAATTCTCATGAAAACTGCACCTACACTTTGGTTCTTTGCCTGAAATATCATAGAAATTAACAGTCCCTTGGCAATATTTTATTCTCCTCAAATTAATTGGAAAGCATGAATTTATTTATGTGAATGCTATAGGAATATATGGTTTGCCATCAGTATGTGGACTGAGCCTTGTTTTACAACAACTGGATTGCTTTTTTATTTTTATGTCCTCTCTTTTTCCTCTATCCTCCCCCCACCCGTTTAATCGGAATCTCTCTGTATAGTTCCTTAGCACCAGTTCCCATGGCAACAAACACCATTGCTAATGGCCAGCAGTTCAAATACAGGCTTCCCCACATCTGATCCATTTGAGTCTGACCATAATTCAGCGGCTTAGTCTGTTGGCTCAGTGGAGTAATTTACTAAACACTCTCCCTCTGGGTGTCTCTCTCCAGGAGGCAAATGGCTTCAAAGGCAGACTGTCTTCTGTGTGCAGCCTGGAAACTTCCTGCCCCGCTCTTGTTCCCATTCTCTATCAAAGGCCTGATGGGGCATTGGGTCCTCCTATTAGTACATCCCCCACATGACTTCCCCCTCTTTATGGAATCCATAAGCTGGAACTCCTATACCATGACCACAATTTTGGCAACAGGCTGTATTTTCTAAGCCAAGTGCATTCAAATGGCATATTAAGAAGATAAGCATAACCACTAGTTTTTCTAGCTAACTATTCACTTTAGGTCAAATGCCTACCTGTGAGGATAACAATTTTACTTTTGATACACAACAGTTAATAAGTGACCTCTAGTGTGAGTGTATATACTACTGAAGAGGAAATGACCTAAGCACATCCACTTGGCTTGGAAGGAAATGCTGAAAAACTCCACCATTACAAACAGAGCCACTAAAATGATGCGAAAAGGTGAAAATGACTGGTTCCTCTTGGCCACATTTTTTTTTTTCCCTCCCAGTTGAGGTTATTTTCTTCTCTTCTGCTTAAAGATCATCAAAGGTTTTCTCTATATGCTTTATAATTATCAGGATATATCCAAATGTGTGTTTCCTTTTAAATTCTTCTGGTTTTTTAAAAAGACTTCACAGTCTAAAAGAGCATTTGTGTATCTTTTGTTTTCTGTCCACGAACAATACTAAATATACTGAAATCCATACTAAATGAATGTGGTTATCAAATGGATAGAATGTTGAATTTTTTAACCAGTCATATTATTTCCTATTTTCATAGGAAATGGTCATTGTTTCTACTTTTCTTGTAGAGGGAATACTGTGTGAGGTTTTCCAAATGAAAAGAAATAATCACTTTCCATCACTACTGTTTAAATAATTTGGGAGGAGTGACTGGCATAATGTAATAAACTTGTGAAAGATATTTTCCTCTCTTCTGGAAGCCAGGGCTACTCCAGCTGTTCTCCCAGGCTCCCACAGCTTTCCCCTCCCTTCCCCTACCCACAAATTCTCCCAGAAAGCCACCCAGCAGGGTGTTCCCTTGCTCTCAAACTCCCATTGTTTCCTACTGTTTATCAAATACAATTCAGACCCCTCCCAGTGGAGTCCCCCCCCCCAAGCCACCCTGCTTTGGGACAATTCTGATCCCGTCATCACCCAACAAATGACAAATGACCTGTGTTCTATTTCTCCATGCTCTTGGATTTCGCTTTGGCATTGATTATTTTTGCAATGAAGAAAATAACTCATCCTCATCAGGCCAGATCCTACCCATTTTAGGCCTAATTCAAGTGCACGCGCTCTATTAATGTCTTCTTTACGTTCATTCACTTAATAAATGTTATTGAATGTTCATGTGTCACATTCTATTCTAGCTGCTGGCAATACAGCAGTGAGAATGAATCTTTCTGGCATTCTCAACTCCGGGTTATCTCTTTATACTCCGATAATGGGAGTTACAACATTTTACCTCATATGACATTGTAAGCGGCTTGACTAAAGTGGCCTTGTCAAATTTCATACCTGGGGCTGTGTGATCACTAGACCTTTATAGGGGAAGCCAGAATAATAACTATCCCATTTGTCAATTGTTTAACTATGTATTAAATCCTCCACATATACCATCTAATACTACAATAACCTTATACTGAGGTGAATATATATATGGGTATCTTTTTTACAGATTAGAAAAACGAGGCTCAAAGAAATTAAATAACTTGTCCAAAGTCTCACATTTGCTAGTGGAGATGCCAAACTTGGGTCTTTCAGATTCAAAGTCTGCATTTAACTCTGTGTTACACTGTCTAGGATAGGAAGTGAAACAGAATGGCATTAAAAGTATAAATTGCTCTAGGCAGTATAGACATTTTAACAATGTTTATTCTTCCGATCCAAGAGCATGGAATGGTCTTCCATCTTTTTGTGTCTTCTTCAATTTCTTTCATGAGTGTTCTGTGGTTCCTCGAGTACAGATCCTTTACCTCTTTGGTTAGGTTTATTCCTAGGTAGCTTATGGTTCTTGGTGCTATAGTAAATGGAATCGATTCTCTAATTTGCATTTCTGTATTTTTATTGTTAGTGTATAAGAAAGCCACTGATTTCTGTACATTGACTTTGTATCCTGCCACGTTACTGAATTGCTGTATCACCTTACACCAGTTAGAATGGCCAAAATTAGCAAGACAGGAAACAACATGTGTTGGAGGGGATGTGGAGAAAGGGGAACCCTCTTACGCTGTTGGTGGGAATGCAAGTTGGTGCAGCCTCTTTGGAGAACGGTGTGGAGATTCCTCAAGAAATTAAAAATAGAGCTTCCCTATGACCCTGCAATTGCACTACTGGGTATTTATCCCAAAGATACAGATGTAGTGAAAAGAAGGGCCATCTGTACCCCAATGTTTATAGCAGCAATGGCCATGGTCGCCAAACTGTGGAAAGAACCAAGATGCCCTTCAACGGACGAATGGATAAGGAAGATGTGGTCCATACACACTACGGAGTATTATGCTTCCATCAGAAAGGATGAATACCCAACTTTTGTAGCAACATGGACGGGACTGGAAAAGATTATGCTGAGTGAAATAAGTCAAGCAGAGAGAGTCAATTATCATATGGTTTCACTTATTTGTGGAGCATAACAAATAGCATGGAGGACAAGGGGAGTTAGAGAGGAGAAGGGAGTTGGGGGAAATTGGAAAGGGAGGTGAACCATGAGAGACTATGGACTCTGAAAAACAATCTGAGGGTTTTGAAGGGGCGGGGGGTGGGAGGTTGGGGGAACCAGGTGTTGGGTATTAGAGAGGGCACGGATTGCATGGAGCACTGGGTGTGCTGCAAAAACAATGAATACTGTTATGCTGAAATAAAAAATATATATATATTAAAAAAAAAAAAAAGGAAGTGAAACAGAGAAAGATAGGAGGAGAGGTTCCAATTAGCAAATCCATGGTCACTGGCTTGCCTGCTGGTATTAAGCCGAGTGGCAGCTGTGCTCGGACAGGGGTAAGGAGGCTGTCTGTTTCCTTCCCAGCAATCTTCTGGGCTCTGAGAAGCAAAGCATGGGCAACTTCACTGGCAGATCCATCGCCACCAACACAGACGACACTAGAAAACAAGAAATTAAAGAATGCAACACTTTACAATAATCGGTAATTATTCATGAAATCTCAACTTCAGAAGAGTAACCTTATATATTCAAGTGCAAGGTTACTCACACGCACCTTCCAACATTTTAGTAAGTATCAATGAATAAGAAGGCCCTAGCGCTGCCCTGGTCAAGTTTACTTCGAGGATATGATTCCTACACAATACCCCGTAGACAAAATGTTTTTAAGTGGGTTAAGAGGCATTAAAACACTTGAACATGTTAATTCACGTTGAATCTGCATTTGGCTCTGTTGATACCCAAAAGTATATTGTTCTCATTTTATGTTAGCAGTCATGTACAATTCATTTAACCAACTGCTAATTTTCAATATAGCTCTGAAAAGACAGCTGTAAAAGTCATGTGAAATATGAAACTTTAAGAAGCGATTTACCACTAGTATATAAATATAGTAATTACAAACCTGAACTGTTTTTTATCTTTTGGACATTACTGCTAGATGGCACTTTTAAAATTACTGTTACTGCCCTTTTGATCCTAGTCAGTACTGCTAATAATTTTTTAAGAGTTCATGGTAAGTAGACTACAGCAGAGGTGGTGGTAGAAACTCATGAAAGTAATATATCCAATTTCAGAAATTTGTTTCATAATTATTTGTATTTAAAAGATGTAAAATAATCTTAAGTAGCAAAAGCACATTAATTTACCCAAAAGAAGGAAGAGTTTGTGTTATTGAAAGCAGGTATCATAACTCAAGGCCCATAAGAGCCCAGCAAAAATGGAAGGGCACAATGAATCTAAAGGAGGAACGGATTTTCAGTTCAGCCCACTCATGTCATCTGGGAGGCATGCCTAGATTTTTCAGACACTTTTCATCCTCTGATTTTTCTAGAACAACCACAGATTCTGATTTCTGGGTGAGTCTCCTAATTTGTCAATATTATCAACTAGCATTCAATTTATTTAAAACCTCCATGTGCCAAACAAACAGCCTATGGATCATGAGCAGCAGGTTTTATTTGTTTTAAAATGGATTTATTTATTTGAGAGAGAAAGCAAGTGTGGGACGAACGGGTAGAGAAAGAAGAGAGAAACCCAAGCAGACTATACGTTCAGCACAGAGCCTGAGGTGGGGCTCGATCTCAGGACCCTGAGATCAGACCTGAGCCAAAACCAAGAGTTGGATGTTCAACTGACTGGGCCACCCAGGTGCCCTGGTCACCAGCTTTTAAATGGATCCTTAAGGTTAGGAAACTCTTGACGTTGGTGAACCCAGAGTCTGAGGGTCCCTCAACTCCCCACCCCCAACCTATCTCTCAGCCTTCCAGCCCCTGCACAGAGCTGTGGTTCAGCCCTATGACTGCACACTGCCTGGCAGGATCCAGGTCCACCCTTGTTATCAGAGACTCCAGGACGTGGGATATGACCCGGTAATTGTTGACTAAGGGTACTATTTTAGGTCTGAAAGGATTCTAGGGGTTCATCATGTAGCCACTGATTCAGAAAAAAAGTGATTGTACCTACTGAAGGTTGACTTTATGTCAGAAAATACGTTGGTTCTTTTCTATTAAATCCTCAGAGTTCTATGAAGTAGGCATTAGCCTCATCTTTATAAAGGGGGAAGCCAAGGTTTGATGTGAACCTTGTCTAATTTGATTTCAAAGATCTTGGAGATTGGCCAACACTCTATGAACTTAAGCACACCTAGGAGATTCACGCCCTTTCTACCCGCTAAGGTGTGTGTGTGATCTAAACGGAGCACATAAGGTCATCCCACAAAACATCTAACTTAGCTCAGAACCTGACTTTGCCATTCTGTATGGCAGCATCTGGCCCCTGGGACCCTGCACCCAGTAGAGCATCCGGTACGTGTTAACTCACTGCTAGCATTGATAGCGATGGTTCCGCTGTGAACATACTCTGCCACAAAAACCTTTGAGTTTTTGTCCTAACACGTCCTAGGTTACTTATTTTGAAACTTTAACAAATGATAATTACAATAATAAAGTAATATTTAGTGAATGATTACTATGTACCAGACACTGTTCTCAGCACCTTCCATGTATTAACTCATTTAATTTGGACACTAACCATATGCAAAAGATATTTTTACCTTCAATTTTCAATTGGGAAACTAAGGCATAGAAAGATTAAGTAACTTTCCCAAGGTCATTACATAGTAAGTGACGGAGGATTTGAAACATCACAATTCGGCCTTAAGAGATGGCACTACTACTACTAGTCCACGTATCGTATCCTTTCTATATGTGAAATCTAATGAAAATCACCTTATGGGAAGCTTACTCTTTTGAAAATCAGTTTACCAATAGAATTAATGTGTAATTAAATGTGTTAAAGTAATATATTTATGTTGATAACTATTATATCATTAAGATCACCTCCAGGAATAGTTACTCAGCCTCGAGGATATACTTCAGACAAACCTATCACAAGAGTCTGCACATTACAAGAAAAGGCAAAGCAAACACCCACCCACAACCTTTTATGTGTTAATTTAACCACACTTAAGAGTTACCCTAAACATAAAACTTAAAGTAGCTAATCTTTTGCATGTGCTACCTCTTGTATTTTCAGAAAAAGTAAACTCCTTCTTGCCATGACCCCAAATACAATCATTCTGCCTGGAAAGGTAGAAGCAGAGGCTGATACCTTATTTCTCTTCATAAAATTTCCCTTTATATAATTTTTAAATCTGTGTTTCTTCATCTACAAACCAGTATCATCTTTGAAATGTTCCCAACAGGTTACTAGGTTTTGATTTAAACTTTTTTTTTGAAAAAAAGTACTTTTTAAAAAATACCTTACTTAGTAATACAGATACCATGGTCAATGGGGTCAAATCTCAATGTTAGTCAAATAATGTCCGAATCAGCATAGGTCTAGTTCATGGTGAAATTTTAAAAAGAAGAGAAAAACTAATTCAAGTTCAAATAAAACACTATGGAGCAAAATAGGAAATATTAGCACATTTATAACTGCATAAGAGCTACAGATTAGCTTAACCATGCTCACACTTGTAAATTCAACTGTTCCAGCTACAGGTCTCAGCACCTGACCGTACTCTTTTCTTTGCCATTACAAAACGTTCTCTCCATGCATAGTAAAAATAGGGGGCAAATAAAAAGTGGCACTCCTACAAGTTTGAGTGATGGATCTCAGAGTGTTTGCTAGGATACACTGGAGATGCACAACAGCGGTCTTGCGTACTGATAGATGTGTTCCTGTTAGCTCTTTTGACATGATATGTCTTTATATAAACATACGTAACTCATTAAAAATTCCAAAATCTTAACAAGTAACATTTCTTAAACATTATTTACCAAACCATTTGGCTTTATTAAGGTCCAAGAATATTTCTTGGACCTTAAACTGTCTGGTCCGTGTCTATAAACCTTTAGATGATTTTCTAATCACACCCTACCAATAGCTTCACTTGAGTCGGGCAGAAATGCTCCAGGCTCAAGTTCTTGAAGGAATCCCCTCTCTAATCAAAGACCATAGAATCTTGAGGGTAGCTTATCCCAACCTTGAATCATTTGTACCTTTTTCTCAGGAAGTCCTTCAACAGCTACTCTTTGAACATGTGCAGAAACAGGAACTCACAAAGGGAGTGCATTCCGTTTTCAAATGCTTCAACTTGTTAGAGAATTGCTCTTTCTTTTTAATTGAAGTGTATTTGGTATATAACATATTATGAGGGTCAGGTACATAACATAATGACTCAATATTTGTATGCATGCAAAGTGATCCTCACAATAAGTCTCATTCCCAGCCATCATCATACAAAGTTACAAAAAACTATCTTGTTGTCACACTTTCTGGATCTCTTTCAGCAACTTTCAAATATGCAATACACTGTTACTGACTATAATCCTCATGCTGTATATTACAGCTCCCTGACTGATTTATAACTAGAAGTCTGTACCCCTTGATCTCCTTCACCCATTTCACCCACCCCTAACCTCCTCCCCTCCAGCAACCACCAATCTGTTCTTTTATCTTGGCATTTGCAACAACATGGAAGGACCTAGAGAATACTGTAACATGGGAGGACCTAGAGAGTATTATGCCAAATGAAATAAGATACAGTATGATTTCATACATACATGGAATCTAAAAAACAAAATGCATACAAAGAATTATTCTCTTAAAGTGTCTAAAGAAACAATGTTTCCATTGTTCTCATATACCTAATCTGTGTAATTCTAAGTGGAGTGACTTAAAATGACCATTTTAGTAATTTTTCCCAGATCCCAGTGGAAAAACTAGGCCCATGAAAATAAATGAGGTATTGAAGAAATCTTAGAAAATAGATGATTTTCAATAGAAATTTTAAATTATTATAAGACCTAAATAAATCAGCATGCTGTGGAATTCAGAAACCATCAAATCACTGAACTTACATCACAGGATAGTTAGGTCAAACTATGTGGTTAAAAAAATGTGGCTAATAACTGAAAGATCTGCATCCCTTTTAGGGCCACACTGTTAAATAACAACACCTACCATGTGAAATAAACAAGAATTAAGTACATTCAGAGAAAAAAATCACTATACTGCCCTTGAGTCTTTTGTCATTCTGCAAAATTTTTAAAAAGATTTTCTTTATTTATTTGAGAGAGAGAAATCACAAGCAGTGTGGAGGGGCAGAGAGGGACGGAGAAGCAGATTCTCTGCTGAGCAGGGAGCCTAATGCGGGGCTCTATCCCAGGACCCTAAGATCATGACCTGAGCAGAAGGCAAAAGCTTAACCCACTGAGCCACCCAGGAGCCCCTCTGCAAAATTCTTCTTCATCCTTACATAGTATAATTACTAATGAAACGTATTTATACATAGCACATTCACACATATACATAGCACATAGAACTTCAAAATGCTGATGGGCAAAACCAGGTCTAATATCTATGGTATCTGTTACCCTCATTATTTATATAATTATGTTTTGAAGAAAGGACTTATCTGCAATACAGCCACACTTATATATTCAAAAGCTGTGTTTCAGGACTATACTAACAGGCAGTAGGTGGTGGGCATGAGTCCCCCAATCACTTTTTTTCTTTTTCTAATGTAGTTGCCATTTAAAAAAAAAAAATTTTAGTGTAAAAGTAGGAATTTATTAGAACATTGGAATAGTCTGTATTTTTTATAAAAGTTTTTAATTTTTTTAGTATTTTAATTTTTATTATGTTCAGTTAACCACTGTGTAGTACCCCAATTATCTTTAATTGTATACTTGCAAGATAGTTTGCGAAATGTATCCTGTTAATCTGTCTAGCTTTAAGTGTAAAGCTCTTTTCTTTTTAAAGATTTTATTTATTTATTTGACAGAGATCACATGTTGGCAGAGTCAGGCAGAGAGTCAGGCAAAGAGAGAGAGGAGGAAGCAGGCTCCCTGCTGAGCAGAGAGCCGGATGCAGGGCTCCATCCCAGGACCCTGAGATCATGACCTGAGCTGAAGGCAGAGGCTTTAACCCACTGAGCCACCAGGCACCCCTTTAAGTGTAAAGCTCTTAAGTAATCTCCTACCTCATACTCTTCATCGTCAATATTCATGTAATGTTGCCATCTAGATTTGCTCCTCTCAGATTCCTTTTTGAAGTCTTGTTTTACTTATCAAACTTTCTTCTTCATCCACTAATATTGTTTCTTATCAAAAAATATTAAGCACTTCTGGAAAAACAACCCTAATAATGCTCTATTTTGACTGCATTACTTTCCTTCCTAATATATTCTAGTAGTTCTTTAAGAGCAAAGCCTTTCACTCTACAGTTCAAAGACACAACTGTCCTTCCTGATATTACATTTTGTTTCCTGCCCATTACCATGTGACACAGGTTATTCACATAATTGCCACCTTTTAAAACCCTGAAATATCAACTCTTGTAAAAAAATCTTCCCTAAAATGTTTTTGTCTTACACATCAATCCATCATTTTGCAAAGTGATTTGCCTACTTTTAAAAAATGGTTATTAAAGTATGTCACTCGCCCCATTTCTAATGTTTGCATGACAGTGAATGAATTCTACACACTCCAGCAATGTATTGGAAACAACAGTTTCCAATGCCCACTCTGGATAGCACACTTAATTGGTAGCCACTAAATTACAAAAGAATTAAAATTAGCATCTTTATTTATACTGAAAATAATATATACATATTAAAAGATTTTATTTATTCATTTGAGAGAGAGAGAGAGAGAATGAGAGCATGTGTGAGCACAAAAGCAGGGGGTAAGGGACAGAGGGAGAGGGAGAAACAGACTCCCCACTGAGCAGGGAGCCTGACATGGGGCTCGATCTTAGGACACTGAGATCAGGACCTGAGCCAAAGGCAGATGCTTAACTGACTGAACCACCCAGGCTCTTCAATATATTTGTATGTATAGAATATTTACCTGCAATCACAGCCAACTGAACCAGTCGGTAACTATTAATATTATCAATAAATGTACAAAAGAGGATCCCAATACAGTTATACCATATAACCTTCCATCAATGCTTTTCTAGATACTCACACGGTTAAAGCCAAGAATTAAGGACTACAGATTCAAATATATGCACACTAGGTCAGTATGATGTGGTCCTCTTTGATTTCCCAGCATTTAGATATCTCTCCTTTTGTTTTCCTACGCCTGATCCTGAGAGGCAGAGGACCAGGCCATATTGTGATCATTCGTTGTTAGTATACAGATACGAATGAAATAGTCTAATTACATACACCACAAATACTGAAATACTTACAAGCCCCAAATATGTGGCTAAAAACTAACGAAAACATTTCAGAACATGGGCCATGGGACACATACAGACTGATAACATAACCTACCCATCAAATTCCTGGAGTTCACAATCCTTCAGCAGTGCCAGAGCGTGCCCTTCGTACTCTGTTACTATTTAGAAACAAAACCCAAAAAACAGGTTAAAGTCTTAAACAATGATCTACACTCTTTCACTTAGTTTGGCAAAACAATATCATAAACATATGGTCGGGTCATAAAACAACATTTATCCTTGAATATTTATATTTTAATCATGGGAAAGAGGATTAAGTGTTACTTGCCTGATGTGTTTTATAGCTTTATGTAAAAGAGGGTCATATATTTGTTCCAACTACATAAGTCATTTGGAGCTAGCCCACACACAGCAGTCAGATCATTTATCGTGGTGCATGTCTGTTCAGTGTTCCCTTCCTGATATTATAAAGAAGATACATTTCCCTCAAATCAGAAGCCTAAGAGCAGCAGTATTTTGAAAATAAGGCACATTAGCTGGCATCAAACAGTCAATGTTAAATCGCTTTGGCAACCTCACACGAATAAATTAGTGGAAAGGTTAGTGTAAGATTTACATACTAGAAGAATGTGTATCTGGAACCGCTAGACTAAAAAGAGGAGGAGCTGGACGTGAAAATAACGAAGGCAAGCCAACACCGATGATAACAGACCCAAAGCGGAGGAGGAGGGTGGCACGGACCCACCAGCGCCCAAGCCTCTGAGGAAACGGATCTGTCACTCCCTATCGCTGTCTCTACAGTCGTGATGCCCTACGCAGTATTGTAAATGCCAGTGGAGACAGCACAAACTGGCACACTGCAGATGGCACCAAGCATCCCAACCACATTTAGCATTTTCTAGGGCAGCACTGCCAGAAGAGACAGCCCAGCTGTATCCACCCATCAAAGATTTCTGCTGACTGACATGACATTGCAGATGGATTTTTTGTGTAAGAATGTGCATCATTATATGCAAGATTACATTAATCTTTCATGCCTGTCTGTCCCTGGTGCCAGCATGGTTCAAGTTTTTCCTACAATGTTTTTTAGATATTGTTAAGAATTATTAGTCTTGGTGTCAAAAAGAATCATTCTGTATCCAGCAGCATTACCTTGTAATTCTCCCACAGCTTATTCAAAGGCTGTTAACATTCACATGAATAAAACTTCTCTGTATTAAATTCTAATCAGAAGAAAGCTAGGAGGAAACTAAGGATAAAATATTTATATTAATAAACTTGGAAGGTTAAGTTATCATAAGTGATTGTGTTGATCATTTATAACCTCAGCAAGTAGTTGAAACCTTAAAAATAGAAAATAAAATGTTATATACATACACACACTGAAAATACTTAATGATATTATGAAGAAATATTTATGCTGAGAATCAGTTTATCAAATCTTGCTTTTAGGCTGCAGCTTACTCTGGTAAAGCTTTTCAAATCCAATACAAAGGTAGCTTTAAAACTAGGCTATGGCTAAACACTACCTTTATTCAAGAAAATTTTTAAATAATATTCTATTTCTTTGATTTTGCAGGTAGAATTTGATGATATATTGATGCAAATTATCCAAGAAGAGTAATTTTTAAAATGACATTGGAAAAGTTAAAAAAGAAAAAAATAGTGACCTGGAACAAAGAGAAAAAATGAAAGAAACTTGATCACAAGATATTAGGAAAATGAACAAAAAGAATGAAGTCCTTGGCAACAGGGAGCTCATATTCTGGAGACAGAAATGAGATGCTGATTTTAAAACATAAAGGTACAATATGAAGTAGTAGTAAATGATTATAAAAAAATAACAGGGATAAAGGATAGAGAATACTATTTAGATACAGTAGACTAAATAGAGACTACTATTTAGATACAGTAGAAGAAACTGAAGTATTTATTTAGACATAATGTTAGAGGCCCTGGAGTGAGAAAGAGCCAGATTCAAATCATCCCATTCCAAATAAACATGAGGAATAGACTGCTAGACAAATGCAGTTTCAAAAAGTTACTGGCCTTTTCTTTCACTTGTTTTCCTTTTCTAATAAGAATGATACCCTATGCCCCTTGTATTCAGAAAATTTGGAGATTCCATTCTTTGCAAGGCTTTGAACTCAGTTCTCAGTGCTGGGATTCCTCCAAACACCAGAACTTTCACTTTATATATTACTTCCTCAAGGAGACAAGATTGGAAGAAAGTAATGTCTTGATGTTAATGCTGAATGTTGATGAGGAAACAGGCTGTAGTAAAATCAGATGAAACCTGGACTTCAAGAAACCTTTCTTAGTCTGGTGATAAAATTTTATAATGGGATAAGACACGGAGATGACCTATAGGTACTTCCAACTTAGCTCCAGATGGAATCTGTTATTTCCACCTTCAGATTGCCTCTCAAATATATTGTTCTTTGTGTTCCATCATCTCCTCCCTGCTCCCAAGACAGGAAAATTACTTCCTAGCTTGTCTCCCTCCTCACTCTCCACAACTACTCCAAGGTCAAGACCAGTTGTTTTGGTCTTTGTTGCTATAGTATCCCACCTCAAGCCAATGCCCATGGTCCAGCACTAATATTTTTTAATGTGGATAGTGTAACAGTCTTCCCCAGTCTGCCTCAAACCTTTATCCTACTCTCCCCAGAATGACTTTCTCAGATCTCCTATCCTTCTTCTACACAACCTCCACGGATGAGTCTACACTGTCATCAGAGACAAGCTCCAAACCCCAGACTCTGAGTACTGGAAACAGGATTTTTCATGTACATCCACAATTACTTAAGGAATAACAAAAAGAACCTCTCACTTGATATGATGCATGAACAGGTACTCTCCAGATTTTTATTAAAATGCAGGTAAAATTGGAAAGAAATAATGCCCTGACCTACTAGCATCTTTTGTGACTCAATTTTATCAAATTGCCTAGCTTTCTGCTGGGCAAGATCAGGAATAACAGGAGGCATTTCCAGGGAGGGAAGGCTTTAAGTAGAGACAAAGAGCGAAAGAGAAAAAAAAAATTCCAAGAGGAGATTTGGTAAAAGTGTTGTTAAGTTAAACTCATGACCCTAGAAGGAGGGGAGGGGGAGGTGACAACAAACTCCACTTTCCTTACAATTCCACCAGGACCAAATAGGAAGTAAAAATTATCTGGGGACTAGGCACTCCCATGAGCCCTGAGTTGGCAAAGATCAAGGCTAAATTCACAGATGTGCCTTTGACCATGATAATGATGGTGAGTATGATAAGGTCTACAGTTGGTTAACACAAAAATTGACTGAAGGAGATGGAACTGCCTATCATGAACAAGAGAGATCAAGAGCAGTCATATTATCTGTTTCATATACTTTAATGACTCATACGCAAGATGGGATGCATTTATTTTGTACTAGGGCAAAAGAGAACACTGACTCTAAAAATTACAAGAAGGCAAAAGTCATCTCACAAGTTCTCCCTAAAGTTCATGCATTGCACACAGGCATTTGGTCAAAGGGACAGTTACATTTGCAATCTAGCCAGTATACCTAACTCAAAATGCTGGTGGCCTTGGGCTGAATCAGCTCAGAGAGAAGGGCACCTTTATATAAGTTAGAACAACAACAACAAAAAAAAGTGTCTTTTCTAATATGCACAAGGTACAGTGACCCTGACTCAATAATGCCCAGCAGTATTATCCAGTAATGGCAGACACTGACATAGGGTCCCCAAGCAAAGCCCGAGAGTTCATCCATGAGTCAGGCCACACCTACACTCCACCACATGGGGGAAATTAAACTAGATCACTCTCAAGTTATTTCCAGTTTGATCTCTCAGGTGCCTTTTCTCACTTTATTGTTCTATGAATTATTCTATGAATTTATAATCTCTCAAAAACCCTCTTAGACCTTAAATAATGTACTTCCTGAAATCTGCTCTATTTTGGGAGAAGGATAAAGAAAGGTTATCATAGGCCAGCTTGGGCTTACCACTCATGTTCTTCTTCGACTCAAATGCCAACAAGTTACTAGAAAAAAAACAAAAACAAAAAAACTCCATTTCTAAGTTCTTCCAGAAGTTTTTCTGACACAATTATTGGATACTGCACTGGTGGTGGCAACAGAGGGGGGATCCAAGTTCAGCTCAAGAATTTCAAAAGACGCTGATCTATATTCAGAAGTAGTTAGGGTTTCAGCAGTAACCAAAAGGAAAAGTATATTTTTATTAATGTGGTGATTCTTTTTTTAAAAAAACTGGAAGTTTATACCTTCTGACACCTTTCGCTCATTTCTCCCATTTCCCACCTCCTACTTCTGGCAACCAAAAATCTGTTCTCTACACCTGTATGTTCAACTGGGGGTTCGTTCTTTGTTTTTTTAAGATTCCACAAATAAGGGAGATCAGATGGCAATTTATCTTTCTCTGACTTAGGTGACTTAGCATAATGCCCTTAAGGTCCATTCATGTTCTTACAAATGTCAGGAGTTCCTTTTTTTTAATGACCAGATAATATTCCATTGTGTGTAAGTGTGCGTGTACACATGCACACACACATATACCCACATATATAGACCCTACATTTTCTTTTCCATTCATCCACGGATGGACACTTAGGTTGCTTCCATGTCTTGGCTATTGTGCTACAACGAACATGGGAGTGCAGCTATCTTTTTGAGTTAGTGATTTTTTCTCCTTTGAGTAAATATCCAGAAATGGAATTGTTAGACCATATGGAAGCTCCATTTTTTTTTTTTTAAGATTTTATTTATTTGACACACATAGAGAGAAATCACAAGCAGGCAGAGAGGCAGGCAGAGAGAGAGAGAGAGGAGGAAACAGGCTCCCTGCTGAGCAGAGAGCCCGATGTGGGGCTCGATCCCAGGACCCTGAGATCATGACCTGAGCCGAAGGCAGAGGCTTTAACCCACTGAGCCACCCAGGCGCCCCCATTTTTAAATTTTTGAGGAACTTCCATACTGTTTTCTGCAGTGGCTGCACCAAGTTACATTCCTACCAGCAGTGCACCAAGGGTTCCTTCCCCCCACTCCACATCCTCACCAACACTCTTTGGTAAGAGCCATTCCAGCAGATGTGAGGTAATAGTTCACTGTGGCTTTGATTGGCATTTCCCCAATGATTAGTGATGTTGAGCATCTTTTCATGTACCTGTTGGCCATCTGCAGGTCTTCTTTGGGAAAATGGATTTTCAGATGCTCTACCTACTTTTTAGTCAAGCTATTAATTTTGCTATTCATTTTTAAAAGAAACTTATAGAAAAAAAATCCTTTAAAATATACATATCAAACTAGAATGTTTCAAATCCTGCCTCATTTATCTAAGCATTATCTCCTAGTGAGTTTATCATCATGTCAAATATATTACGGAGTTTCTATTCCATTTAGACTCAGCAATGCACACAAGATATGTTAAAATAATGGTCACACTGGATGTCCAGAAAATACATACATTTCTGTTTTACTCTTTCATGTATTTTTTCTTTCAAGGTGTGAATTGAATTTACTACATAATTTATGAAACAGACATGCACAGCATTATGACCATCTTTCTTTTTTTTTTTAATTTTTATTTATTTTTTTATTTGAGAGAGAGAGAGAGAGAGAGCACAAGCAGGTGGAGTAGCAGGCAGAGGGAGAGGGAAAGGCAGGCTCCCCGCTGAGCAAGGAGCCCAATGCGGGGCTTGATCCCAGGACTCTGGGATCATGACCCGAGCCAAAGGCAGTTGCTTAACCAACTGAGCCACCCAGGCGCCCCTATGACCATCTTTCTATGGCACTTCATAATATATAAGGTAGTTTCAAATGTATTATCTAACTCAAACTACAAAACTATACTGTGAGACAGGCAAGAAGATTCTAATCTTTTCAAGGATCCATATGTTTATTCAGTCCTTTGCACAAAATAGCAAACTTTCAAAATATAAGTATTTAGCTAATATACATACTAAAATGGTTTTATATGCAAAAGATGCAGTTTTATAATTTTGCCTATAGGAGGAGTGTTAGGCAGCTAATAATTAGCCATTCTGCACAAATATATAAGAAAATTATAAGTTTGCTTTATAAAATGTCCTAATTTTATGTTGAACTAAATATAACATTCAATAATGTTTATAAATTTAGAGGAAAAAGAGCCCTAGGACATAAAACTCTTCTCCTCAATACGAAGGAAAGCAAGCACATTCTTATCATTTCCTCTGCCTTCCATCAGGTTTTTCATGCACCAGTCTTTCTTCTAGGAGCGGTCTCTTCCTTCCTAATCTCTATTTTGTTGGCAGGATCATTGCTGCTAAACCAGATGACAGTGCTATGATAAAAAATTGACACTAATGTTGGATCAATACATGATGAGTAAACTACGGAGTACAGCACAAATGTCAGTCCAGAATCTGGATTTAAACTTCCTCTAGTGGACATGGTTGGGAGCCTTCCCAGAAGCCACTTGAGCCTTTTTTATTTTCTCCCTAATAGAACCCAGATTCAGTTCAGGTATTTTCAGCCTTCAGGAAAAGGGGGTCCTACTTCCAGCCCATGGGATGGGTCTTAAGAGTTAAGAGACTGCATGCTCCAGCTCAGGCACACATTATAAGACAGTCAAACTGACAGGAGAAAATTTTAATCCTTGCTCAGTATTAAAGTATGTTGGATCTCTCACATACACACACCTCTCCCTATCCCACTTGATTTGAACAAAGAAGGATCTAATCCACTGTCAACAATTTTTTGATGATAGAAAGGATTAAATTTAAGATGAAGTCAAAACTGAGGAAGCCAAAGCGAATTAGGGAATTCCAAAGATATGGGTTACACACACACACACATACACACACACCCCGCTTATATGTGCTTGCAAGCTTGCCTTCCTTCCCTTATTTTTCTCCTTCTGCTGCTTCTTCTGCTTATGTAAAGAAAACCACAAAAATCCTCTGACTCTCCAAAACGGTCTGTTTCAAGTACTTTCAAATCTTCTGATCAAAATATCACCCTCTGAGACACCAAAGTTCTTGTATCTATATCCCAATTACATTTATTTGAATCCCCAATAAACTAAGAGCCACACAAGAGCAGGTAGTATAACTTATTCATCTTGCATTCTGCACAGTGTTTAACACAAGGCATTCTACAAGAGTTTCCTGAACCGGAAGATACATAGTAGTATATACATCAAACTATCCTGGATATTAAATCAATGAAACACAATAATGTTATTAAGTTTGCCAATAAGCTCATTCAACTTTTAATGGTCTCCACCCAATAAGAATTCAACCTTTTTTCCCCCACCAATCGTAAAATCTTCAGTAGGAAGGAATGATAGATAAGAATTGTTTCTTTTCCTTTTAAATTACCTTTAAGTAAGCCAAAACCCACAAAGGTAAAAGATTAACTTCTCATGACAGTTTTATTTTAGTCACAAATTCCTCCTGAATTTTTCATGGTAATTTCTCTTGAACCTCCATTGTAATAGATGCCTTTTGGGGTGGCTGAACTTTTTGTTTAAAAAAAAATATTGGGGGCACTTGGGTAGCTCAGTCTGTTAAGTCTCTGCCTTCAGCTCGGGTCATGATCCCAGGGTCATGGGATCGAGTCCCGCATCAGGCTCCCTGCTCAGCGGAGAGTCTGCTTCTCCCTCTCTACCTGCCTGCTGCTCCCCTTGCTTGTGCTGTCAAATGAACAAAAATCTTTAAAAAAAAATTTTGTTAGAGAAACTTCTTCTATCTCAATACATCAAGTCATGAAGTGAGGGCATCAAATCTTATACTGTGAGACCCATCTCCCTCAGTTTCAGCTGAGCAAAACCAAGTCACTCTGAATCCCTTCCCCGGGAATTTATAAACGAGACTAGGAGAATCCAAGTACACTATGGCTTTGTTTTCTGAACAGGTTTATTATGCAATACTCTTCATCAGTTTAAATTTGCTAGAAATTTGCACTGTGTGTTAGTGAAGCTACATAGAAATAAAATCAGAAAACTGGGGTTGTGATTTTTGATAGCATCAACCCTTTTTCTCAATCCAATGCCCCCACCACCACCATGGGAAAAATCAGTCTCAAAGGAAACAAAGGAATTTGGTCACCAAATTCAAAACATTGAAAAGGATTTTGCTAATCTTCTTTCTATTAACTTTAGCACTGGCAAATTTCTATTTTCCTCAGCACAAACCTAAACACCTTTCTTGTTTTAGACAATGAATTTAAGCTACTGGCTTCTCTGAATTCATCTAAACTGGCAGTTACATGCTTAGTTTTGACCTAACCAGCAGGGGTCAGAGTCAGAACAAAAACCACCTAATGAAGGATTCCATGGAAAGACATCAAACATTTAAGTGAGCAAAAATCAATTGCTTGCCAAACTGTAGAAATAATGTGTAAATAGCCAAAATCTCAATGAAGGTATCAAAAAGTGCACAGCTCCCTTTGAAATGATTCCTAATAATTTTTAAAGTCTGAAAAAAGGTCTGAAGACAATACTGACATTCTAATAACACAACGAAGAGAACAAAATAAGTGATAATCCTTGGAGCTGGCTGTAGTAGGCTATAGAAACACACAAAAAAACCTTTAGATATTACAGGTAGTTTCCTCAATTTGGCTTAAGAACAAATACAGATTGTTTTGCTTCCTTAAGTATGATATTTTTAAATGACAAAATTATATTCTGAAAATGACTTACTTGTAACATCAGTCTTTATTCCTGCAATCCTCAATAGTGGTTCAACCTTCTCATAATAGACCTGAGTAGCTTCTTTTTTGTGGCTCTGGGGGTTGAGAATTACTTTTAATGACTTTGGTCTATTAGAAAAACCTAAGAGGAAAACAAAGACAAAGTTATACAATCTTCATCAGCACTTCTTTTCTTTCGCTTTAAAACCATACACTAAGTCCAGTCAGAAGGTTTTACATCTACTTAAGTAGTATTTGCTGTTTTTATTTGAAATTCTTATGAGTTTTCCCAAACATGGCAGTATTTTAAAACATTTGTTTTCCTAGCAGTTAAATAGGTATATTCTTCTTAAATCATGAATTAGAACAAAGCATTACATTTATGAAGGAAATGTGGATGAAAGCAACTTTGTATTATTAAGCAAAGCTCATGTATATTTACCAAATCATAGATAATATATCAAATGTTCCATCAGCATTTATTGGGGGGGGGTAATAAGCTGCAAAGAACAGGAAGGTTTACTTCCTCTCCTGAGATAAATATGTTCATTATTAGAATTGGGCTCCCCAGTGACCCCCGGGCTCCCCAGGCCTGACCCGTGGATGAGCGCAGGGTGGGGCAGAGTACACAGGGCTGGGTCAGGGCCAGTGCCCAGAGCAATGCATGCTGGGAGCTGAAAAGAGGCTTAGGTCAAAGTTCAACCCTGAAAAGGAGCCAGGGGAGAAAGGACTCTTCCCTGGGGAACTGGGAAAGAAAGCCTCTCAGCGGGGATTCGATGAGAGTGCTGCCTCACAGTTGAGGATGAGATTTGATACTACAATTTTCTGGGCTTGCAAGATGTTTATCACTTAGAATCCAGTTGGAGCAGGTGCAAAGCAAATTTTCTGTTAGGAAGGTGCAGGCGGGACAGAGGAGCCAAAAGAACGCTAACGGCCATTTCTTACAAGGTAAGCTGCTGTCACAAGGCCATGTTTCAAGGTTTAAAAAAAAAAAAAAAAAGTTACTAGCATCTGCTTTTCATAAAAGCATCCCTAAAGCCTCATGGAAAACGTCCATAACACCAACGTCGGTTCTTGTGCCTCCAGCTGAGACAATATTTCATTTCTCATATTTGATATTATACCATCCTTCAACAGGACACAAGGTTTTGAATTCAGGGGGATCCCTGTACTGGAAGAGAAAAAGACAGGGCCAGGCTGAACTGCCTACAGTCTCTGTCATTGTCCCTGTGCTTGTTAGTTTGCTAAGTGGCCTCTGGCAGTCTCCTTACCACCCAGTCTTAAAAATCTCAAAACCTTGCTCTGTTCCTTTTTACCTTCCAATCCCTCCATTCGAACGAAGTGCCCACCTTCATGAGATGGTAATTCTGTTTCGGTGCCTTCTATCCCTCTTGGCCGTCGTGCTGTGGCTCCTCCAGGGCTCCTGCCAGGCATTTGGGCATCTCGCTCTTCTCCCCCTTCCATGACCTCTGCATCATGCCTCCATCAGGCCCGCACTAGCAGAGAGCTGCCAGGGCTCCCCACTGCCTGTGGCCAAGCCTGAACCCCTCAAAATGACACTCAGAGTCTTTCCCCAGCCAACTGCAACCTAGCCTCCCCTCTTCCTCTCTCACATAGATTCCAGAAACATGGACTGAACATTTGCACTGAGTACCGGAGCAAAGCGGTTAACACATGGTTTGTGCTTTAAAGGAGGAAGATGTATCCAACACATAGAAACAGCATAAAATAGACTTGCTAATGGAGAGACACCAATCACCCCTGGAGTGTATGAGAAGAGACTGGTTAATTCTCACCAGGGATCAGGAAAAGGGAGTATGTGAGTGGGGCTTTCGTCTCTTGCGGTTTTCACTACTTAGAATTCCCTCCTTCCTTCCTCACACGCCTCATCTTACCCCCCTCAGCCAGACAGCAGGAGCAGCAGTGGGACAGGAGAGGAAATTCTAAGCAGAGACTAGCATGAAGCTCAGTAAGTGCAGAGGTTTCTCTGTTCCATTACTGCTTCCCCATCATGCTCTGAAACTGCTCAATTACCTGCCAAATACCAGACGTGCCAGGCACTCCTCAGACAGGTTTGGTTTTAAGATTTTATTTATTTGAGACAGAGATAGTGACTGAGATAGTGAGAGAAGGCATGAATGGGAAGGAGAGGGAGCAGCAGACTCCCCATGGAGCAGGGAGCAGGAAACCCAATGAGGGGCTCGATCCCAGGACCCTGAGATCACAACCTGAGCCGAAGGCAGACGCTTAACTGATTGAACCAGCCAGGCATCCCTCAGACCGTTTTTCTTTCCACTCTACCTTACCACCATTTCTATGACAATTCTGTTACTTTTTGTTTTGTTTTGTTTTTCATCAAGTAGGCCCCATGCACAATATAGGGCTGGAACTCACAAACCTGAGATCAAGAGTCGGCTCGCTCTAGGCACTCAGCCAGTCAGGCGACCCAAATTCTGCCGTTTTTTTTTAAAGCTTACTTCCATATGACTTCCTCACTAAAGACTTTCTTAATCACCAACAGAATTCACCTCTCTGGCTTCTCATTCCCACTGTATTCTGTGGGCCTCTATTAACTATTTTTTATATCATTCATTTTAAAAAAAGAACTGATGAAAGACCGAATACCTTGGAACTCTTACTGCCAAACCAGGGACAATATGAAATGGAGTAAAGACTACATCTTACCAAGGAGGAGAAGGAAAAACTCTGTCTTATAGTAGAATGACAATAAATATGGAAGGAATGACAGAAAATCACTATTTTCACCCGTTAATAATGGATTCAGGCAAGAATCAGCAATGGGTGGTACAACCATCAGTGACAGTCAGTTGGGGAACAAAATGTTTCCTTATTCTTAAACTCTGTCCCTCTTTATTGTTCTCATTACAGAGGGTAGAAGCGGACATTGACAATGGGGACATCTCACAAACACTGCCTTAGTCAAGTGATCAGAGTTGACCATAACCTTAACGTACAAATGGACACGTAAGCCCCGTGATACCCTGTGATGCGTGACACACAGCACCGAGCACACAGCACTTCTATGGTAACTGCCCAAAGTGCATAATGCGGATCAAGCGATGATGCAACCCTCAAACGGACCCCGACTGAGGGGACATTCTCAAAATAACGGTCTGAAACTCTTAAGAACTTAAAACCCTCAATACTGTAAAATAAAATTGAGGACCTGGTCCCAATTCAAGAAGGCTAAAGAGAGGACAAGTGATGCAATGTATGATTCTGGATCAGGTGAAAAACTGCCAGAAAGGACAGGACTATTCGCCTTTAACCAGGAGACTAAGCAGATAAATCTAGGGCTCACTTGCATTAAAGCACAACAAAGTCAAGTCACTTGTTCTAAACTTCAGAGGCCAAGACTCAGATTAAACATCCAAGTTAAGTTTACCTTACCTGGCGTATTTGTTGAAAGAGGTTGCTTCATTTCTTGGTCAGAGGCAGTCCCAGCATGGAAACGGTCTAGGTAGCTAATGGTAGTCCTCAAACGTTATCATGAAAACCCACTTTTATTTGCCCCTCTCCCTATATCATGACTGTCAGGTAATAAAAGTTTTTGGAAATAAGAAACAGTCACTTGGGACTTATGAGGATAAGTACGTTGTAGTTGAAGGCTTATAGCCCTTAAATATTTATGTATAAAAGTATATGCTATATGTTCCATTCAACCTTTGTAACACAATCCCCTTAGTCAGGAAAGAGCTAAAACTACTCAAGATTTTCTAAAAATATTTAAGCAAATTAATTTTATTCTTAAGCCTCAGTTACAATGACAATAGCAACTAAATAAATTAATCAGAATGTTCCGTTCCTTAGACATCCTGATAAATTGAGCACTTTCAAAACATAAATCAACAAAGCCAATTTTTCACCAGAGCATGTACTCATTTTCTCATTTATCTTTTCCTTTTGGGTGCTCTTAATTTGATGATTATGAAGCTAGAGTCTAAGTATATAAAAATTAGGTAGCAATTTGATACCTATTTAGAGATCAGAAGGGGGATTTCTATCATATAAAGCAAGATTTTTTTTAAAAGATGTTCATTATTGAATAGAATAAAGAGATATAATTAGTAAGTCTCCAACTTCTCTTCTCTCAGGATCCCTCCCCAAGCCTCTCTGGACCTTCCTCAGCCCCTTGTATACACCATGCTCCCTCTCCCATAGCGCCACTGCACTTACTCTGCACTGTCCACCCCCCATGCTTTCTGCCACTATGGCCACTTTGTCCAATTAATCAGTCATCACTTCCTTGGGAAAGACTTATATGGCTTCCTTGGCTTTGCAACATTAGCTAGGTCACCGCCCCCTCATCATTTGTTCTTAAACATCCATACATTTTGCAATCTTGATTCTTACACTATTATCTTTTTATATCTATTTATTATTTGTACTCATATATTAGACTTGAAACTCTGGGGCTTCTCCCCGTATTCGATCTTCTTAGTGCAGGGGATATAATAGATGATCAAATATTTGATGAATGAATAAAAGGGTAGTGTTAGCCTTCAGCCATATAGATAGTAGTGGCATCCATTCATGTATTCACAAATAACTGCGTGCATACTATTTGCCAGACAGGGTTCTAGAAGCTGAGGCTCTATCAGTGAACAAGCAAGCTTCTGCCTTCAGGAAGCTTCCATTTTAATGGTGGGGGACAGAAATACTAAGAGAATTCAAGGTATGTTACATGATAACAAGTTCTAAGGATAAAACGAAACCTCACAGTAGGAGAGAAGGAGGACAAAGTAGAAGAAATGACTTCCTGGACAGGGAAAATCAGATCACTCACAAGCACTTACAAGGACTTTGGCTTTTGTTCTGAGTGAGAGGAGAAGCATGCTGATTTTTGAGCACCACGGCAACATGACCCGGGATGTGAAATGGATCACTCAAGCCTGTGTGTGGAAAGCAGATGCTGTAGGTGCCAGAAAAAAGTCAGAACAGTGGCAATACTCCAGGTGGTAAATGACTGCACTTGGATTGAGTAAAGTGGAGATTATAAGAAAAGCTAGATTCCAGAGATATTTTGAAGGTAGAGCTGACAAGATTTGTCTACTCTTGTGTTACGTGAAAGAGAATAGTCAAAGACTAATCAAATTATGGCTGGTTAAGCAGAAAGTGGCA